AGCCTAATCCAATGTTAAGAAAACTTCTCAAGTATCTTGACATGAAAAAAGATAGCTAAAGAGGCAGCTTGTGTAAAAATGCAAAAGTTCATCCAGCAACCCACCAATTAAATTGGCAGTCATGCACATGCACGGAAGTATGGGGTAACATGTGAACTCACATATGAGAAAATGTACTATAAAAACAAATGCATACAAACAAGACAAGCTAATATATGGAAAGAGAGCAACTTCACAAATATTCATTTTATGAATGACAACAACTAACTTAGGATATTTCCTTGTATCGCAGGAATGGTAAAGGCATCAAGCTGCAAAAATATCCAGAAAGACATGAGTACTTGAGATAACACAATTGGCATCGTCAAAGAACTTCAGTTACAATATCTGTTACCTTATTCTCAATAAGCTCCTCCATCAAACTGTGATTCCATATAAAGCGTGGGTCAGCCTGTAGACGAGAAAAACTGAACTTATGTACATAAAATAAATCTCAATGGCAAGAAAAAGCCATGTAGCTGACAACAAATAGTTGAGACATTATGGCTTTTTATTGTTGTCACTGTAATTACATATAACTAATCATCAAGTGTGATCCCATAATAGTTGAGACTCTTTCACAGTCAAAATGATTCTATCATCTGAAGGATTTTCTAATGAACACCCTGATGAGCATATCGAACCTAATTATCTTAGAAGTTTCTCATAGTATTATTATATGATATCATTTCAAACAGGACAAGATGCACAAAACACAATAAGATATATATTGGACCCTGATTATTCAAAAAACAGGCAGCCTGGTGCAGGTTGTCTGTACAGGAAATTTATTATACTCATAAAACATGCACTACAACCTATCAAATTGTTGAAGGAATTTGAAGCATCCATTTAGAAACTAAATGAACTGATTCAAATTTTGAAGGAAAATTGTACTCAAGAAAGAAGGCAGATGGACCTGGATTTTCATTTAGACATGGCCAACAAGAAAATTTGTTTATTCCTAACATAAGAATGTAGCACTAAAACAAACTAATAAATCACTGATTTTAATCCCAAAAAATAATTGTTTCCTGGAATCACTATGATGCACAATTTACTTATATTCCATAATCCAATCGAATTAAGAACCCCAAGATTATATATATGTATATATCATGCAAATTAAATTTTTAGAGTCTCCTACGTCTCTATATTATAACAAAGTTTCATGACTGATGAATTTTAGCTACCAGGGATATGGAGTAAATAAATAAATCATGGAAACGTGCTGAACATGTCACATAAGTAATCTGTCCTGTAATAAAAAATCCACACCAGCTGACCTGTTTCCACAGTGGCTTGTGCATCCTTTCTTCGGTCAACTTGCATGTCCTCTGTAAGCTAGAATTTCAGTCATTAGTTAAGCTTAGCATAATGAAATTTTAAATCTTGCAATTACTACCAAGGAAACACTTGCAATACAGTAAATCTTGCATGACCATAATATAATGACTTCAAGAACCAAGTTCAAACGAGCTATCATACTAGCATAGGCATATTACTTACTTGAGTGTTAAGTCCCTTTCATATGAATAATATAAACCAGGGGTCGATTCTATGGTTCTCAGAAGAGACATAAAGTAAGCCTCATCTCTTTTCTGCATAAAAGCCAAACCACGATTAGAAGAATGATCAGCTGATCAAAGAAACAGCAAACTGGAACTCTATCCTCCCTTCTATTTAGATTTTAGAGCATTTGATAGAATAAGCCTGTCAAGAATATCATAATGACTATAATCAAATTAAAAACCAATTAATTAATAAGTCATACTTCTTGAGAAGTTGAATGCTTTAAAGCCCCATTGCAGGACAAAAATCTCATTGATGTAACATGGAATACGGAGGAATTGAGATGAGTACCAACTTCCTTCCGAGAGGTAATAAGTAGCACATATGTTCCTGGATAAACATAGAACATTCAGATCAAGTGAAAAAAAAATGAAGAAGATGATGATGAAAATATGAGCCGATGTATATCCAGGATTCCAATAAATGCATAAATTGTGACTGCTATGCGAGTCCAAGCTCCCAAGGATCATCATTCAGTATGATCCCTGATTTACAAAGTTCTTGGGAAAATCTACATAGATCCTAAGCACATTCACCAATATCAAATAAGAATGAATTTTTAAGAAATTGAGCTCATTTGATGCAGAATCTACAAATATTCGTTCTTGACAGGTGGACCCTGCATGTGGAGATTTTGTTCCACACATTTGAACACCATGGAGAACAAAATAATGTAGATTCTGTTCCTGACATTGGAATGCCATGGGGAACAAAATAATCTTACAGCTAATCAAACTCACCCTCTAAGAATTTCCACTGACGTAGCAACAAAAAGAAGAAATTGGAAACATGGTTAGAACAACAAATACCAAAGTATATATGGTACTGAATAAATTTATCCTTCTCGGTCACTCCTAGCAAAACATTTCACATCACAGACAAATAATGAATATGACTCTGTTATATTCAAGTTCCATGTCTAAAACCTTGAAGCAACATGACATTTAATTTGCTGCTAAACTTGATACAACGTTTGGAACATACTATGTTTGGAAAATAAATTGATGATGGAAAGTACCTGCAATCAACCTGATAATCCCAAGCACTCCATAAATTGTTGAGACTCTAGAAGGAGTTAAAGAACTAAGATCTTCTGCATTGACAAAGAGGCATCAACACAAAGTGAATTATTTATCATTTATAATAGACTTCAAATATAAAACAAACTTGTTTCTCATTACATTAGGCAAAGTAATCAACATAGTATCTAATTTGCAAATATGTTAAATTAACTTCAATATCAAACCACAACAACCTAAATCAACAAAAACAACCTTTGACCTCAGAGTTGGATGCAGGGTCTTACTTGGCCTATTTCAACAAAATAAAGGTTTAAAATCGATAATTTGGAATAATAAATGAAAGGCATATATATCACTTTTTCAATTTTAATAGTCAAATGATATTATTCCAGCAGATGCATCACTTTTTCAATGTTAATTGATAACCATTACTATTCCACCTACGATTATGAAGGCCAAAAAGAGAATGATCCAAGCTCAAGGGCACCCGGTAATGCAAAATCTGGAAAGTGAAAATTTTAGCAACCTTACCTGTGGGGGCGGAGGCTATTTCAGTGACTTGTACCCATGACAAGTAAATATCATGGAAGCAAATTAAACTGTCACACTGAAGCTCACACTCTACTACCCAACCAACAAGGTGGGTATCAAATTTTATTTGCCAGCGCTCTATTGAGTGTGATCTTATGTAGACCTATTATGAAGTTTTGGTTCCTTCCCAACTCTTACCAGACATGCTAAGATAAATTTGAGCTCCTCCTTCAGTTTCCTCACAGTGATTTGCATATTGAGTAAATTTTTCCCAAGTTCATCTTGATGCTTTCAGAATCTCTTACCTTCATCCCAAATCATTACTTGTTCTAGTAGTCCTTCAATCTTTTATCTGGTACCCAAGTCCCAAATTACTAGTGAATGATAACTTAACGGAATTAGATACACAAGTAGACAGCCAATCACAAAATTCACAAGAGAACAGTCAACGCTATGCGATCGCGGGATCGATAGGGAGAGAAGGGATCGGACTGACCGAAGAGAGGCTCGACAAGGCCATCAGAGCGGCCGATGGAGAAGGCGTGGTCTGGGGCGTCGGGATCGACGGATCGGATCACGTACCGGTCGGGGAACTCCAGGAGGCTGAGCTCCCGGCAACACAAATTTCGCAGGGGTGGCCCTCCTCCTCCTCCTCCTCCGCCATGGCCGCCCGGCTCCTCCCCTTCGCCCTCCATTCTTGACCCAAGAAGATGATCGCTGGTTCCTTCTTCTGGTCGAGGTCGTCGGGTCGGATACGGCGACGGGGAGTGCGGCCCGTGAGGCTCGACGGGGCTCGACGGGGAGACCAAGCAAATAATAACACAACGCTATACTTTCCGCCACCGGCCTCCAGGTGTCTGAAACAGCGTTGTGTCGGTTTCAAAGGTGGACCCGGATATCCCGCCAATGAAAAGAACGGTATTGACTTGGGTGTCTCAAGGAAGCATCCATGATGAAGGATCAGCAACTAGATGAAGCTCAGCTGTCCAGATTGACGAAGTGCTACGTCATATGACGTCAATTGGCATTTTCGTTAATATTTTGTGGTTTCGTTAACGCGAATATAATGGTTTACATCTTCAAAATTTATATTATTGGATGAAACAATATAGATCTTCATAGAAATGACTTAAACAAGTCATTTTTGTTGTTCTGTGTCACTCGAGATTATAACGTGCTAAAATGATCGTTATAGGATATAGAAAAGGATTCATCAAAAAGATTATTTTGACTCTGAGAGTGAACGATGAGTGACGAACGACAAGCAAAGCTCCGTCTTATTATCCGAGACGTAATAAGAAGGTGCTACCAACGATGAAAGCTTTTGATCAAATCATAAGGTAACATCCAATAGGATGACAAGTACTACTCATATTAACAATTAATCATCAAAACAAAATATCAAATCATAATAAATGAAATAAAAATGTGTCACGTTAGAGCAAAGTCTTACTGTCTAACATATATTAGAGTTGAAGGCGACTGTGTTGGAGTGGCCACCCATTCGTCCCATCCTACAAACATTGACGTGATTTGATGCACGCAGCATCGTCGTTCGATACAACAGAGCTCTTCCATGGAGATACAAGACAAAGGGGCCACCGTTGCGCCACTCTTCTTCCGCTCTCTTAAGCCGTCGAGAAGAAGAGACCGAGTCCGATGTAGTCATCCGATCGGAGATGATGAAATTTAGATAGGTAAAATATATCTTTTCTTTTATTTATAGTTTGTACACTCTTCCTCAGAGAGTCAGGACATGACAAGATCAATATAGTTTTGTTTACGGACTTTTGGGCTAAATTGTTTGAAGGTGCCTTTGGCATGGGGGAGGTGACACGAGATGTGTCTGGTATGTGAGTAAAGAACACGGGGAGCGCATCTCCTCGTGTCACAGCTCATGCCAGCCCTACAACGTGACAAGCGTTGCCAAATTGTCCTCATCGCCCGACCAATGGCATAGAATAGATGCCTCCCATGCAATCACCACACTTACCCCTCCTGCATCGCCGCCTCCTCCGACCAATCGTCACTACCATGGAATCCACCAAGGAAGAAGCAGATGTAGAAGACGATCAAGCGGCGGCGGCCGACCTCTCGTACCCACCCGTCTTCCTCGAGTCCAGAGGCGCCGGCCGTCTCCCCGCTTCGCTATGCACCAGCGCCCCGGTGATCGACGTCCCCGTGTTGGACCTGCATCGCCTGGATCCGGTCGGGCTGCGCGGCGCGTGCCGTGACTGGGGGCTGTTCCGGCTGGTCCACCACGGCATCCCGCCGCCGCTGTCGGCCGCGTTACAGGCCCAAGCCAGGGACCTCCTCTCCCTCCCTTTCGACGCCAAGAGGGCGCGGTTCTCCTCCCCCGGCCTCGCCTACTTCTGGGGCACGCCGGCGCTCACGCTCCACGTCAAGGACCTCAACTGGCTCGAGGGCCTCCATATCCCTCTCGGCCGCCTAAGCTCCAGCAGTTCCGCCGCCGAATTCGACGGCCTCGAGACCTTCTGGTACGAACGCTTCTGATGACCCCACTGCAAGCATGTCTTATTACCTCTTGGAGATCGGAATAATCGCATATATGCCCTTCTCCCTTTGGTTTTGCATGTGTTCTTCGTCTTCTCCGGCGGAATCATTCGAGAAAGCTAATGCTTTTACTTACCTTCAGAGTTAGGGGACCGCAGCAATCACATGGCTAGTCAATGAATTCTGTATCGACCCTATCATCTTTCTAACGAGAGGGTTTGTTTAGGTCTTTGGTGGATGAGTATAAGCAACACATGGCTCGCATCGCAAGAACACTGTTCGAAGCCTTGGCAGCCGATCTCAAGCTCGACGCCTGGGTGTCAGCTTCCTACCTGAATGAACACGACGGCACGTTTCGGATCTACCGGTACCCCAAGTGCGCCAGAGCCGACGACTACTTCGCCATGGAGGCCCACACGGACAGCTCGGTGTTGTCCGTCGTCAACCAGGACGACGTCGGCGGCCTGCAGGTCCTGCGCGGCGGCGGCTGGTTCTGCGTGGAGCCGATCGCCGACACGCTTATCGTGAACTTGGGGGACATAATGCAGGCGAGTATCTCTTTCTCCGAGTCAGTCGAATAGCAGACGCCGGCTTGACGTCCCCCATGCTTGTGTCTTCCTAGGCGATCAGCGATGACGAGTACAAGAGTGTGGAGCACAGGGTGACGGTGAACAGGAGCAAGGAGAGAATCTCACTCTGCTACTTCGGCTTCCCGATGGAGGATGGCGTGATCACCAGCTCGAGGTACAGGGAGTTCACTTACAGGGAGTTCAAGGAGCAAGTGCAAGAAGACATCAAGCTCTCCGGGGCCAAAGTAGGGCTGGGGCGATTCAAGATCAACAATGAAAGCTGAACTGCTCAGCCTGTCAATCGTTTACTGCAATAAATAATTACAACCAAAATATAGTCATGTTCATGAATCTGTTTGCAAGCTGATGGCAGCACTTTAATGTGATCTAGTGTTAAACTATCAGATGAAGTGAGATCAATCAAAAATTTAAGATGGTACCGTGTGTTCTATGCTAAATTAGGATTTGATTTACAAACAAGGATCAATCATGATCGCCAATCACGAGGGGCTGCCAGCACATGTTTTAATGCAATCTTTTCTCATCATGATAATACGAGGATGGATCATGAATATCGATGATATTTTAGAGGCAATATATACTAATTATTTTCATATATACGCTTATATATATATATATATATATATATATATATATATATATATATATATATATATATAATACAAATGGATATATTTGTAAATTCATTTAGGTCAAGCACGACGATATAACGGATATTAACCGCCTACTCCTGTTTTGATGGTTACGAATACTATTCGATGGAATCGCATTAAATTGGCCGAGAGAGAGAGAGAGAGAGAGGATGAACCTGGCCATTAAAGCCCTCATCGATTTGGGGGTGACGGGCGATGATGAGCTTTCGGGGAGACGGCGAAGCGGACGCGGGATCGTCTCGCCGGCCTTCTACTCCCTCGATCCCTGCTCCGCAGCTGACACCACCGGCACCGGCGCCTCTTGCCCTTCGTACGATCGCCTCTCCCCTCCGATCCCGATGTCTACATGAGCATCCTGGTACCGGATCTACCTGCCTGTCAGTCTCTTATGAAGATCTGCTTTCCTGGATTTAGATCCTTCCAGGAGCGTTGGCTTCTTGTAGATTTCTCTTGGAACTCGCAGCTGTGAAAGAAAGGGAAGGGTTGGGAACAAGGGAATTCATGCTTTGTCGGGTTGAGAATCCTGGAAGTGCGATCAATAATTGACTTTGTGCTCGCGGCGCCAGCGAAACCTAGCAAAGATGGAGTTGATTCTGATGCCTTGAGCCAAAGATGTTGATAGAGTGGGCGACTCTGAATGTGCGTAATTTAGAATGTATACGGTATATGACATGAACGATCACTTCAACGCCGATATGATTTCCTGCAGGCTCTGAAGTTAAAACTTGGAGGGAGGGAGGGGCTCCTAAAGAAGCATGCCGAGTATGGCAGCTGAGATCAAGAATCTTTATCCTGACTTGCAAATGTTGTTTGCGATAATTACAAGTAGCACATTTGCGCCTCCAACACCATCAAAGGGTAACAATACTCATTTTTTTACTTTGTTCTTAGCTTTGATGTTTTATAGCTTTATCCTTCTACAACACTTAAACCCTTATTTAACTATAATTTATATGCATTTGTGCAGAGCCTATAAGACCAAAACAAATGCACCACGCAACGTACAGAGACAAACATGATAATTTTATATTCAGTAGCCTCCGAAAGGAACAAACGAGTGAAAGTCTCACTGCCGAATCTTCAGCTGACAGACAAATGCTTTCATTATTTCAAACAGTTTCCTGTGAGAAGACGACGTTATTGTAACAGTCAGGAGATTCAGAGGCTACAAGGCAGACAGGAAACAAAATTGCAGCCATAAAATAGCTAGTAACAAATAAATGAATTACACCTATACATGTTCAGCTAATTGCGGACTTCAGAGGAAAAAACAATTTATCAGGAGGAAACATTACATTATTGCGACCATCAAGGAAATAGAACAAAACCTCATGCATAGATAGTTCTTCGGAAAACCATCATTGCGACCATCATGGGCTCTTTGGAAAACCGATGGCTGGATTTGACATCATGCATCAGATCTGCTCTTCGTACTCCATGTTTCATTTCTGATGATAGATAGTTCTATTTCTGATGATAGATAGTTCTGACTGAGCTCATACTTCATGGCTTTGGCCGGACACCAGTGCCCCCAACAAGCTCATCTTTAATCTGCTTATCAAGATTTGGTAAAAATACATTTTTGACAGAAGGTCAATAGCTTACAGGATAAGTATTTATTTTTGGATCATGTTGCAACAGGAATAGCAATTTAGGTTCAATATGCAATGTAGCACCTTTTTTGGGGGGGGGGGGGGTTCAGAAAACAAAATAAGATGAGTGTATCCCCAGTAATAACGAGAAAACAAAGACTTATATTTTTTCGCCACAAATTAATAGCAAGGAACAGCTAATTCTGTCAAAAATAACTTACAGATAAATGCAAGAGCAGCTGGGTACGTGTGTTTTTGCAAGTTATTACAAGGTAAGTCCCTAAACCATTAATTCTCAGACTAAGCTGACCATGGTAGATCTACCAACAGCCAAAAAAAGGTATGTGGAGAAATATTTCTGCAAGCATAATGAGCTTACCAGGTATCAAGCTGACAACCAGAAGAAGGATTCATTTATCAATTTCATCAGGTATGATAGCCTTTCCTAAATACACTAGTTGCATCTCTTCTTTCCATATCTGCAATTTCATTGGACAATGTACACATGTAAGAAAAACCAAGGATGACAAATAGTCGACATAAAATACCAAGTTGGAGATGATTACCATGTTGCGGAATTCAACTCGGATATGAGGCACATTTGTTTTGTGGATCTCATTTCCTTCAGGGCCTCTCTTATAGTAACTTTTCCCAATCCAATGTGACTGGAGGAAACAGGTTGACATTGTCAAATCTCAAGTGAAATTTTCTGACATGAAACCCATGACTTGATAATAACCGTGTATAACAAGCACATGCACTATTTTTAATGAAGACAACACATTTGGATTTTCCTTTCTTGAACAGAAAACTTATTCAAGCAATATGACATTGTATAAGACATCTTGAAGTCATTATAAATAGTATACAGTTTATTTAATTCAAGGCATAATAAAGAATATATTGTTTATCACCAATACATATTGGCAAATGCTACAACATCATAAAATCCAGTTTCATTGCCATCTCAGTTATAGTGTAACAATAGCATAGATATCAACCTCTGCCATAGTATATTATCAGTTTTAAAGCATCTATTTGGCATGACACTTGGATATCAAGCATGATGCTGGAACCAAAGTATTAAAAACATGCTCATACCTTTAGAGCATGTGAAAAGCCAGATTGTAAAACTGAATTTCTAGCAATTTCACATAAATCACATGAACTTAGCTTCCAAACCTGTGAAAAGAATAAATAAACCATCAAGAAGGAATTCAATGAGACGAGGAGTGCAAAAGGGTGAGATGAAGGTAAGAAAGATTACTGAGGCTGCAATGCTGTACTCCTCCACCAAAGGTTCTTTTGTTAAGTGGATTTGCAAAGGATCATCCGTTGAAAGAGAAACATTTAAACCTCGAAGGAAGAATATTGGTAGTGGATTCCGATGATAATCAAGGAATAAGGAGTTGTTGCTCAAAGGAGACATCGCCAAACCAATCTGATGACATAAAAGTTAAAGCACAATATTAGTTTGTTAAATGCAGGGAAATGAAGACATAGCATCACAAGTTCTCTCCTATACGATATAAGATATCATTGGCCATATGTGATCCACAAAACAAGTCTGAGAACCAAAAAAGAACACAACCTTTGTTACCTGAGCAAGATAATACAAGTACTGAAGAACGGGGGACTTTCTTAGGTTGATCCCATGAGCAATATTATTAGCGCAAAGAAAAGTTGTAGCAAGGTGGTCAATGTCACCAGCCTGTGGAAAACTCATGCCACTGTAAATTGCTCTATATGGCTAATTGGAAATGAAAATTATCTTAATTCTTAACAACTATTACCTCTCCTGAATGGGGTCGAAACTTGATGGTTGTCATGCCCTTCGACTCACGGAGCTGGCACATGTCAATAGCATTTAGAACATACTCAACATCGTCAAAGATATCCATAAAACTAAAATATGATCAATATCTAAAGCATAATCAGACACAGGTTTAGTGACATATATGGAGATAGATGGCACAAAAACATCCCATTAGATTGATTTTTCCCTTTGAAGGATTGAGAACTAGCACCTTATTCAGTGTGTACAGGTTGGCATAACAGTAATATACATAGTATGAAAATGCAGGATTGAAAACATTGGTCCATTGTTCTGGTGTTGGCATGTGCTTTGTTGGACGTCTTTCTGGTTTGCTTTCATCATCCACCAAATCCAACCCCACAACCTGACACAGTCACAATCACAGAAAATCATATACTGGTCTAGAAACTATCCAGAAATTAATAATTAGATAGGCTAATAGTTTAAGGATACAAAAGAACAAAGATAACTTCAGAAGATAGATAAAAATGAAAAAACAATGTATATGGATCTAATCAGCAATTGAGTTCAGTAGGAACTTTGTAAGACAAAATCAGGCTGTGGTAAAAAATTTATAGGACAACATGTGTCAGCTCTATGAAAATGACCAAACTATTATTGATTGCTAGGAAAATAAGTCACTTACATATACAAAGCCCCTAATGAAATAAATTTACAGATATAGCAATATGCCTCTCATCAAGTCCAATTGGCAAATGGAAATTCACGTCAAGCAGCAGTAAACATTTTAATAAACATAAATAATTGAAAGTCGCCACTCACCATCACTAACATAGAGCATCCCATGAAGTGCTTGCATTTACTTCAGACATCAGAAAATTTGTTTAGTTAAAATTTTGGCACTTTGTGGGATGATTGTTTCTAAATATACCATAGTATACTCTATCAGATCCTTGCAAAAGAAAGCCATCCGGCTGAGAACATATAATTTACAACAATCCACCTACTTGACTTTGTTTTTACATTAAAAAAGAAAATTACAAGCATTAGTCACAGAATATTAATATGGAAACACAAACCAAACAGGTGGATTCATAAGTACTCTATCAGATCCTTGCAAAAGAAAGCCATCCAGCTGAACATATAATTTACAACAATCCACCTACTTGACTTTGTTTTTACATTAAAAAAGAAAATTACAAGCATTAGTCACAGAATATTAATATGGAAACACAAACCAAACAGGTGGATTCATAAAATGCAGACGAAGATTAAAGGCTACAAACAAACAAATAGGATTAGCAGTTACCTGTTTCAGGAAAACATGTAACTGAGGGTGTGAATCTGGATTTACTGTAACCTCAAAAAGGGGAAGGAAGATATTGTCAAGCATGTTCTGGAAAGATGTAACTATGCCCATTTCCTTGTACACGTTGTATAAACGCGGAAGCTGCAAAAAATAAATGGTATAGTCATGACAATTTTTCAGTAAATATTTTTGTTGAGAGAATCAAATAATAATGTTAACCACTTAAATGTGAAAAATCATCATGCTGTGAATTATATCAAAGAAAATTACTGTAAGGAACATTTTGAAACTAGATATCCTCATCTGAATTAGTTAGTATTACTGATATTTAAGGTTTCAGCACTACCATATTTGTCTGTCTTTAACTTGATTACAGTATGCTACAAGCTACTCTATTTTGAGACCTTATGAAACTTCAAAAGATTATCAAGATGCATGACAGCATTTTGTCCACCGACACTAACACCAAATTACTCATATAGGACATCATAAAGCATTTGCTGATGATCTAAAGTCATATTAGAAACAGAATCTCCATGGAACTTCAATATGAGAATATGGAAATTTAAATATAGGAAGAAGTTTCAAGTGAAGGCCCACATGAGAATAAAAACTAACGTCAAATAGTTATTTGGGCACAGTAGCTCAGACAAAAGTGGGCTCAGGTCACTTCCTAATTTCATATGCCATTGAGTATTGCCACTGATTATGTTTATGTGAGAAGTATTGCCACTGATAAATGTACATGTGAGAATATTGCCACTGATAAAGGTAGAGAATATTACCACTGATAATATAAAAGTAGGTTATATATATGTGAGAGTATTGCTACTGATATATTTAGATGTGCTCCAACTGACATAGTTATATACCTGGAAATATAAAACCTTTTCCATAGATCACTTCTTAGACAGAAGAAATGCGATCAATAGCAAAGAAACAAAGTAACTTCAGTTGTCACTATAGGGATGAGAAGATTTATTGCTGCCAAACAGTGATGCCCAAGATTTGGTACATAGCTGATAATGGCTCCATCATTCAGTCAATCAGCAATGAATTCCATACTAGATAGTTTTCCATGGTTGATATATTCATCAGGGCATCAAATCCCAAAACTTTTCATATACAGTTATCTCACGACTTTCAACAAACATCACAGTGACCACCAAATTATGCGTACCACAAATTAAACCACCAAAGAACAAGAAAGAAATTACGACTTTATGGGAGGAATGGAAGCCAACATGCTTGATTGAAAAGAAAAATACACAAAACAAAACGAGACTGAAGAAAATACCTGAATCAACCAAACAACATTTTCACTGTATAATTCATTATTCACTATCCAACTTGCAAGTTGATCCCACTCACTTTGTTTCCTTCCATATATTGACAATCTATATTCAGCCATCTGATAAAAACAACAGAGGAAAGACACATATATAAGATAAGAAAGTGACCAAGGATTAAAACTCCATTAGAAAAATTATATTCATGATTATAAACATTATAACAAAATTTTGGAATGTTTCTTTAGGAAAAGAAATTGGAACAGTTTCGAAAATGAATTATTACATATTTGATAATAAGAGGTATATTGCAAATAGTAGACTAATTGTGTGATGTATCAAGAGTCCCAATTTGGCAGTGGATAATTGGTTGGATCCATATATACAATTTGAATCTCACTAATAGTAACTCTCGCCAACAGTTTAGACCATATGGTTAGCAACCCATTCAAGTTATTTGGCTGGTTGATCTATTTTTGTCTGATAAAAGAGGACATAGGATCTTGGATTTCACCTTATGAAACTGCCACTGGTGCTATGCAGCCAACATCTGATACCAGGTTATGCTTTGGTCACTGAGTCATTGACAAGGAAGCCAAGACTTGGACTAAGGAAATACATCCTGTACGTCCCACGCTTAAGCTAGATAGGCCTATCAGAAAGGACCACAGGAATGGTGCACAAGAAATCAAGTATTTGGTTTAGTAAGTATAAAACTAAATAACAAAAACAGATCCATCAAGTGCCAATGTGTAGTCATCCTAAATCCAATCAATCACTATAAAGGTTGTATTTATCGTTTGATATCCTCCCCTAGCAAGAAGTCTTATGCAGTAATATGCCAATAGTGTAACAGTGGTGTGCATTCAAGTTCCTCTTACCTTTTCATCAAAATGTTAAATTCAGGTTTTTGAAGTACAGATGGTCAAAATTCTTTGGCATTCTTGTTAACTTTAGTTCATTTGAGATTGTGTACACTTCAAGTATATACAACCACAACTTTATGTTGGTTCTGGATTTATATTCGACTGATAACTGACAAAAGCTGGAAGTATGCCTCAGAATTCTACAGTAAGCTAAAATTTAGAACATGAAATGTTTATTACAAGAAATAAAGAACCACCATCATAAATCGTCAAGGTGTAGGTTTTGAACCATCATTATGAATTGTCAAGGTATAGGTTTTGTAAAAACCTGCATTATGAAACCCATATTAATATACTGCTAAATCTCAACAAGACAAACATTCCAGTGAAAGCCTTGTGTAGTAGGAAAGGTTCTGCTTTCAATAAAAAGAATCTCTACAAGGAAAAAATGTTTAGTGAGAGAAAGTACACAATTAGGCATATTCTTAGAAGGTAAGATGCAAGTTCTTGAGTGTCCAAATTATATGACTACATGCTGATATGAAGATATGGACATGAATGTCAGGTCTCCATTTATTATTTAAGAGAAGTTCAGCAAAGAAAATCACAGGATAATCAAAGTATTTAGATTATCAAAGGCCTAGGACTACACCTGGTATTTACTTGCAGCAAGGTCAGAAAAAACTTGCTTTGTCAGCTCAGCAAGGAATCGACCTGGTCACATGGAAAATATGACCAAACGTAAGCAATAGTTGTAGCTCCTCAAGGTTAATTCAACAAAAACAAATAAAAAAGCCAATCTAAAATATTTCTTGTAAATATCATTAAATGAGCTTAGTCAGCACTTTTTTTTTTTATGCACAAAGTCATCCAACTATGAATGCAACATTTGAAAGTTGAATCCATGACATCAAGATTAGAAAATTACTATTCTGAAAAATAAAAAAAATTCTACAAGGCTCCTGCCAATGCAAATTCTGGAACGATTCAGTGTTGCAGTCCCCTACTACCCTGAAAAGAAATGTAGCTAAATACCCAGAAATATTTGCTACGGCCATACTTGTTTGGTTTTCCTAAGCGAGTCAGATAACATAGATTGTGCAAACCAAAAGTAGACGGCCATAAGTCAAATAAAAAAGTTGCGGATAAATTGAGCCACCAGCAATAAGCTATCCAAATGGATGATATCAGATTTTTTTTTTCGGCCATAGCAAGAACAGATACCTATTCTCTGAAAAAGGAGGGGTAACAATGAGTGCAGGAATTCTCTGGAAAATTTCCATAGTCTAGTAAATATAACAAAGCACCATAAGCACCGTATCAATAAAAAATCTTAAAGCCATAAACTCTAAAACACGACACTCATTTTTTTGTCTGGTTCACATCATTTTCCATCAACCTCAACCAGGGACATGCAAGAATCTTCAAATGCAAAAGTGGCTAGAACATACATTTGAGCGGTACTATGCACCATCAAACCAAAGAAAGTACTTCTTGAGATGGTGAGTTCAGCAATGGAATGCCTAAAGAATTAGGAGTGTGGAAAATTTGTCTAAAAGATGAAGGCTCATCTTCAAGTAAATAAATCAACAGAATAAGGTAATAAACAATCAAAATCAATATCCCCAGATCACTTATTACTTGACCAAGTAGCAAGAACAAAAACAGGTTCCAAATGCTATATGCAAATTTACACAGAGTAGCTTACAAAGACAACGATGGAGTTTAGTGAAAAATTAGCAACCAAAATAATCACTAGACAACTCACAGAAGTATTCCAAACATTAAAACGAGGTGTACATACAGGACAAAAGCCATAAATATATGGATGGTTACCAGTTACCAGTTGAAACGCTCACCTTGTATGAGATTGTCCTGTTTCAAGAAGATCTCCCTTAGCCTACTCTGGCCACAAGGATTATACTTGAGGTTGAACTTATCAAAACGATGAAATGTACTCTTGTCTGCATGGACATCTAGAAGATCAACATTTAGGTCGCTCCTGTTAGATAGAAGCGGACAAGTAAGAAATGTGGATCTAGAAAACTGAACAAACGTCCTGCATAAATATATTTGACATATGTTTCATTACCCAGTTAAGTCCAAACTCTCAAAAACCTCTTTCAATGTCAAATAAGTCCCATCTCTGAAAATTACAACCTAGAAAAGCATCAAGTGAGGATTCAATTTCCAATTAAATAGCACAGGTCTAAACTAATATTTTCTGCACATCTTTTTTGTTATTCAGCAAGTTAGCCAGATACCATAAAGAAGTGAAAACATTCTAACCTCATCAGGCTCCTTTCGCAACTTTGACTTTATAAATCGAAGTAGATGCTTCTGGTTCATGCATGCAGAGTGATGAACATGTGTATCAACCTTCCTGACATTGTAAAAATCACGATGTGGTGCACTTTTCTGAGCAAGAAATTCTCTATCCGCATTGAGCATTAAATGAAGGTTAAACTTCTGCAGATTGTCAGACAAGGCAGATGTCATATCTCAGTTACTATGGCACAAATTAAAACACTGAATATATTTAGCCATTATAAGTTTATCTAATAGAAAATAATCTGATTGTAGATACTGATACAAGTTTCCAAACATATGTATGATAAGTGACAAGAAAATTACTTGCTCAAGAAGAACCAAACGGCGATGGCATACGGTTCTAATATTTCCTGCTGCAATCACTCGAAGAATATGATGCAAGTCCGTAAAAAAAGTTGTAGCATCAGCAACAGGGAAAAGTCTTCTGTCCATTGCTGACAAAAAATTTAATAAATGTTAGATACAAAGATAACTTGATGTGGATAAGCAACAAAAGTACCAGAATACAGTTGGAGCAGATTTCTTACAATCTTTATTTGCATAAACATGAACTACTCCATCTTCCATTTGAAAGACATGCTAATAAAAAAGAACCATTCAGGACATTAGAGGAAAAATTCATGCAGAATTTCAGTTTAAAATAAAAAACATAGGTAATAAAAAAGCTCACATCTGACATCTGCTCAGCAGTGTAGGCAAATGGACTAGGATTAGGCTTTGGTGTACTAGGGTCAGTTATGACTTCTTTCTCCCATGGAGCAATCTCCTCCCTAAAGACATAACTGTCCCTCAGATCAAGACAATTCTGGAGAATCTTATAGACCTCGACTTCATCAGGAGATGGTTTCTCTTTATAAAAAAAAAAAAAGACAATGTAGAGAACACAATCAGATACATAAACATAAGCACATCAGTTAAG